AAAAATTAAACCTCCCCAATAACAAATCCTCAAAGAAACAACCACCCCATTAATAAGTGGGCTGAAGGATTAAGAAGAGACTTCTCTGAAGAGGAAATAAGAATGGCCAAGGGACACATAAGGAAATGTTCAACGTCTCTGGCCATAAAAGAATTGCAAATCAAAACTACATTGAGCCTGGTGCTGGCAGCTCACCCCTTTAATCCTAGAGACTCAGGAGGCTGAGATCTGAGGTTCTCAGTTCAAATACACCCCAGGAAAGAAAGTCTATTAGACTCTTCTCTCCAATTAACTACCAGAAAATCGGAAGTGGCGCTGTGGCTCAAGTGGTGGAGTGCTTGCCTTGAGCTGAAGGGCTCAGGGACAGGGCCCAGGCGCAGAGTATAAGCCCCTCGACCAAAAATATAAATAAACACTACATTAAGATTCTACCTCATTGCAGTTAGAATGTCCATTATCAAGAAAACAAATAATAATAGATTCTGGAGGGTATGTGGCCTAAAGGGAATACTACTGCAATGTTGGTAGGAATGTAAACTTGTTTAACCACTCTGGAAAGCAGTATGGAGGTTCCTCAAAAGACTAAACATAGATCTCCCCTATGACCCAGCAATCCCATATCTGGTCATTTATCCTAATGATCACAAACAAGGCTATCTAAAGCTACCAGCACAACTATGTTAATTGCAGCATTGTTTACTATAGTTAAGATATGGAATCAACCCAGATTCCCCTCAATAGATGAATGGATCAAGAAAATGTGGTATATTTACACAAGGGAAAAATATGCTTCCATTAGAATGAATGATATCACCCCATTCATAAGGAAATGGAAAGACTTGGGAAAAAATCATATTAAGTGAAATAAAGAAACATAGTCTCCATGGTTTCCTTCATTTGTATTAGGATACGTCTAGAATAGTCCTAGCAGAGCATCACAATAGCCCAATAGCTATGCACATTTGACCATACAAAATGATACTAATTGAAATGAACTCCAAGAGAGGTTTTGTTTTGCTTTTCTTTTTCTTTAATGTACTATTTCTTTTGTCTTTCATTTTTCCCACTTTGGTTTATTCCTTGGCATCACTTTTTCTGATTTTTGGTACCCCTTGTCTTGTTTATCTGATTTGGGGAAGGGAAGGGAAATCACAGAAATGGTGAAGCAAAGGGTGAACCGATGCAACAGCAATACTCACTAGACACTATGTTGGAAATGAACCTTACAACTTGGATGGGAGGGGAGTTGGAGAGCGAGGGAAAGTGAAAGAAAATGAGGGCGGGCATAACACTGTTCAAAAGAAATGTACTCATTACCTTACTTATATAATTGTAATCACTCTGTATATTGCCTTTGCAATAAATAAAAAAAAACCTCAATTAAGAAAAGTGAGGGAAGGGGTGGAGATGGAAGGGATGAAGGAGAATGATACAAGGGGTGACATCCATCAAGATGCATTATATCCATCAACTGCTTTGTCGAATAGCAACTCCCCTGTAAAATACTTAAAGATAATAAGAGATATTAGCAATTGAAATATATAATTATTAATATTTCTAATGTGAAGTTAGTAAGTTCATTGTATATAAACTAACACAATTGCATTGAAACCATTTTGAAGGAAATTTTCACTGAAGATTTAGGGGTTGCTCGAGTAGTGGAAATATAAAATTAGTGGTACATGATGGGTATGGAAGGATTTTTATTTATTAAACAATTATAGTTTAATATTTTAATTATCTTATTAACTGTCAGTTAAAAATTACCATTTGCTCTTTTTGTGCTGATTATATCTTTACGATGAGAATTATTTTTAACTACAGATTGTATAGATACCCTATTTTGGAGAAACAAAATAAAAATGACCTAGAGTAAATGTGAAAACATTTCTAATTAGAGAATAAATATTCTGAGTGAATACATCTCCAAACATAATCTTTTGTATGAACTAAAGTCATACTGAAGATTAAATCCAATTGAAGTTTACCTCACACCAATGGCATTGATTCAAGAAAAATGAGTCATTGAGATTGTACAATTTAAAAATTTTAATTTAAGTAATCCCTCAAAATATTATGCTTTGAGCCAGGTGCCAGTGGCTCACATCTGTAATCCTAGCTACTCAGGAGGCTGAGATCTAAGAGTTGCAGTTCACAGCCAGCCCAGGCAGGAATGTCCATGAGACTCTTATCTCTAATAAACCACTCAGAAAACTGGAAGTGGTGCAGTGGCTCAAGTGGTAGAGTGCTAGCCTTGAGCTGAAGAACTGAGGGACAGCGTTCAGGTTCAGAGTTCAAGCTCTATATGACTGACAAAAAAATATGCTTTGAGCTTAAGAAATTTGTAAACAATACTAAATGAAGGTTACCTCTATGTACAATACTTTTTATCCCCAGCATTTACTAATTAGTCAAAAATTTGAATAAAGGACTGAAAGTCATATAATTTTGTAGTTAACTGCTGTTGCATCCTAATACATTAGATTTTGCTGTACATTTTTTTTTTGGTACCGGTCCTAGGCTTGAACTCGAAACCTGAGTTCTGTCTCTGAGCTCTGTTGCTAAAGGCAAAAACTCCACCAATTGAGCCAAAGCTCTATTTTCATCTTTTAGGTGTTTAGTCAAAGATAAGAGTCACACAGTTTATTCTGCCTGAGCTGGCTTTGAACCACAAATCTCAGATCTCAGCTTCCTGAGTAGCTAGGATTATAAGGGTGAACCCCTGGTGCCTGACTTGAGATTTTAAAGTACATTTTACAGAATCTAATTTGATTCTAGTATGGATATACCATTTTATTAGAAAATGATACTTTTTGACTTTGCTTATTTCTACGTTTGATTTCACTGTGAATATAGTGGGAAGGATAGAAAAGTAAGATATTAGACATAGTAAAGATTTCAACTGATGTTGCCAGAATAAATATAGTCAATTCACTGACAGTTAACACAAGGGAAAGATATCAGAGGCGAAGAGAACGGTTTGATGAGATTTACAGAAAATTGATCTAAACATTACGACTATTTAAATCATGGAATACAGGTTTTCAGTTATGTAGGCAGTCTCCTGTGGTCATCTGAATACTTACATAGTGATACCACAACATAACCATATAGCAGACACAGGCTATTACTGCCAGAAGAAAATAGTCTGTAGTTTCCACAGAACAGAAAAATAAAACCGTGTCATACATTCACAGATGGAAAGAGCTCTGTCCTCAGACAAGAATTTAGCTAACATTTTTGGAGAAACATCTCAGGAGCAGAAATCATCCATTAGAGCCCGATTTCTTTAGCTATTCTCAAACTTTACTCTCACCACCTAATTATATAAATGTAAAAAAGTTATCGATGTTTGTCTCATCCTGAGTTCTTTCTAAACAATCAGTTTCCAGCTCACTTTTTTGAACTTCACAAGCATATTACTTGCCTTCTTAGAGGACTCCAACATGTGATGTCTCAATGAATTCAAATTCCTGAGAATGGCACAGAAGACTTGAAGTAAACTGCTCCACCCAAATGTCTCCCACTCACTAAGACTTCTCTGGGACAACTTGCCCTTTGTCTTTACCCCACTACCTCCCACTCCCAGCATTGACTGTGGTCATGCTCATTGATGATTTGCTGCCAATGTCAAAACTTTTCTTTCAGGTAAAGTTTATTTCTGATGTTACATAATAACAAAATAGTAATGGTGCTTCAAGCATGTAGAGAGGGGACAGAATAGATTCAAACTTTGCTCCTACTGGGATTACTCACATGATTTTGTTAACTCAAATAGTTCAATATAAGAAGCTGTTATTTTAAGAAAGCATAAAACAGCATGCCTAAGTTGTTGCTAAGAAATATGTATAAAAAGTCTAACCTTAAGCATAGTATGCTGCACATTTTCAACAAATTTATTTTACCTTTCTACATTGAGATAGTGAATAAATGTCTATGTTTAAATATTTAGGATTTTCATTCTACTCTGTCTCCTTTTTTTGCATGAACATCGCCATCTTTTGTTAATGCTATGAATCACTGGAGTCAGTGTAGATCTTTGAGTCTACTAATAACCAGTGAAATAAATAATGATAGCAATGAGAAAAGTTATTTATGGAGAATATTCTATGATTAAAGTAACATATATGAAATAAACTACATGAAAAATTAATATTGATGACATTAACAACAGCATTTAAAACTACAGATTAAAAACAAGAAATAGGGGCTGGGAAGGTGGCTCAGTGGTAGAGCGCTTGCCTTGCATGCTCGAGGCCCTGAGTTCGATTCCTCAGCCCCACATAAGCAAAAAAGAAAAAAAGCCGGAAGTGGCGCTGTGGCTCAAGTGGTAGAGTGCTAGCCTTGAGCTGAAGAGCTGAGGGACAGCGCTCAGGCCCAGAGTTCAGGCCCCACGACCAGACTCAAAAAAAATAAAATAAAATAAAAACAAGAAATATAGAAATGCTATTTCAATAGAATTTGAGAGCAAAATGACTAACATTAAATTTAAAAATAATATTGAAGGATATTTATTCTGGATATATACTCAAAAGTAATTCCATGACACAAAGTCACACTGAAAATCAAACTCAAACATTCAATTAACCTCCGGCCAGTGGCATTGCTTCAAAAAGATTAGTAGAACTTAGAATATGCATGAGATTAAAATTATGTTGTGAAACTAAGAAATTTGCCAAAGATACTGAAAAAAGTATGCTTTAAAATAGAATGACTTTACTAGTATTAGTTTGGGTTAATAAAAATTGTGACTAGTTGTTCTCTAATTTATAAATAGTTTTTCCAGTTCCATTCTGATGTGTCCCAGTACCATAGATTTCAAAGCATATTTTACCCTAGTCTCTTTTCTAAATTAATTTGACTCAAATATTATTATGTTTTAAACAACCTAATATTTTGATTGTGGTTTTGTGTATTACCTATACATTTAGAAAGTTCCAATCACTTTAGCAAATTAAAATCACTTCACCAAGAGAGATAATATTATTTATTTCAGCATATTACACAATTATTTTCTTCATTGATCTTTTCAAAACACTGATCACTTCCTTATTTCTTAGACTATAAATGAAGGGATTTAATAATGGGATCACCACAGTATAAAAAATAGCAACAGGTATATTTTTATCTCCTGAATTAATTGAACTTGGTTGAGCATACATGAAGAGCAGAGAGCCATAGAACATAGACACAGAGAGGAAGTGGGATGCACAGGTAGATAAGGCTTTGCCTCTTCCCCCTTTAGATTTCATTGTGAATATTGTAAATAGGATATAAAAGTATGATACTAAGACTATAGTAATTGTAAAGACTTGAATTGATCCTGCCAAGATAAATAGTATCAACTCATTGATATAAGGGTCAACACAAGAGATTCTATATAGCGGTAGGACATCACAGAAAAAGTGATCAATTTGATGAGATCTACAGAAAGTTAGCTTAAACAATAACCCTACTTCAATCATGGGGTGCAAATTTCCAGCTATGTAGGCTCCAGTAGTCATCTGAATGCAGAGTTTCTTGGACATCATGGTATGGTACTGCAGTGGGTTGCAAATGGCCACATAGCGGTCATAGGCCATTGCTGCCAGAAGAAAGCAGTCTGTAGTTTCAGCAAGACAGAGAAAATAAAACTGGACCATGCATTCATAGAAGGAAATTTTTTTATCCACAGAAAAGAAGTTCTGTAACATTTTGGGCATAATGGCAGAGGAGCAGCAGGAATCCATGAGAGCCAGATTTCCCAGAAAGATATACATTGGTGTGTGAAGACGGCGTTCCATGTAAATCAGTACCACCAATCCAAGATTCCCCACCATGGTGATAAGATAGATGGCAAAGAACAGGACAAACAGGATGGTCTTCAGCTCTGGATGATTTGCAAATCCAGTAAGTATAAACTCATTTGTTGAGGAGTAGTTGTCAGTCATCATGCCTTTGTCTGTTTAAATAGGAATTAGGTAGACATTATATATAAGATTTTAACAAAAGCATATATATTTATATAAATATGGCTATGTACATATATAGTGCTTTTATTATATGTAGATGAGTTTCTTATTCAGTTATTCCTCACTGTCTGGAACATAGCAATAAGGACATTTGTTCACTTAAAGTATAAGGACTTATGACTTCAAGCTGACTTTGGAGAATTCATGTGTATGTTTTGCTATTTTCTTGGAAAATATTTAAAGCAGAACAAGTATACCTTTATTTATACAAGGATCCAATAGTAATTTGTAGGATTCATACTTGGTTCTTTGTTCCCAAATATATCCTATATCATTTTCCACATTTTTTATTACTGCAAGAACAGTTTTTATGTTCTTTTTTTTTTTTTTGGGTCCGGTCGTGGGGCGTGAACTCTGGGCCTGGGCGCTGTCCCTCACCTCTTCAGCTCAAGGCTAGTGCTCTACCACTTGAGCCACAGCGCCACTTCCGGCTTTTTTTCTTTTGCTTATGTGTTGCTGAGGAATCGAACCCAGGGCCTCCAGCATGCAAGGCAAGCGCTCTACCACTGAGCCACCTTCCCAGCCCCTTATTTATGTTCTTAAAAGACTGTTTCAATAAAGCATAATAGAGATACATTAAATTAATATATTAGAAATTGCACAACAATCACCAAGGGCTGAGGAAAGGATTCATGTTTTATGAAATTTGTCAATAAAAGATAAAGCAATAGCCACAAATTATTACCTCTGTCACCCCTTTTCCCTTGTTGGTGCCATAATTAGTATTGATTTTGTAACAGATATTTACATATCTGTGATTTTGACTGAGGCATAACTATATACAATTCTAACTAATAAAGTTTTAACTTAGGGTCTGAGTTATGTTATTTTCACTGAGGATAATTTATAATTTTAAATGAAAATTTCCTTTATATTTGTTTACTTTTACTTTGGATGGTACTGAAGTTTGAACTCAAAGCCATGCTTCAGCTAGGCTGGATCTTTGCTACTCAAGCCATGCTTCCAGTTTTATTGTTTATTACATGTTCCTAAACAACTTCCTAATTAACCTTGTGGACATTTGATGTTAATTGTTGCATATTTACATGAAAAGAACTGTGAAATACTTTGGGAGGTCTTTGGATATAGCTCAGTGTTAAGAAAACTTGTATAGCATGGACAAGGCTTCATTTTCCAATCTCCAGCAACTTCCCCTCTAGTACACACAATTATCACCATCATTACCACCATCATCATTCATCATCATCAGCAGCAGCAGTAACAGCTTTGGAGTAAAGACAGAATTAATTCTAATAATAGGTTAACCTTATTGACCTGGGATAGGGACCTTATGTTCAGGACTCTACTAATTATCATTAATGATCTCATTACCTTTGCACATTGATACTATTAACCTTGGAGAAGTATCTATGAAGAAATAATTTTTCAAATAACATCAAAGTACTTTGTTTTTAAAATCTTAATTGATTGGTTACTCTTTTGTCATTATATGACATTTTCTGATGGATGTCACATTAGTAAGCTAATTAAAGGAGGCTATATTTTATATTTCAGTTTCTAAGATTTACAAAAATACAATTTTTTTCTTTTTTATTGTGAAAATACTGTACAGAGGGGTTACAATTACATGGGCAAGATAATGAGTACATTTCTTATCAAGCATTGCAGCCTCCTCCTTTGTTTACCCTTCCCATCCCTTCCCAGACTCCCCCCACTTCCCCACCTAATCCTCCTCCCCCCACCAAAGTTGTAAAGTTCGTTTTTGACATGACAACTTGTACTTCTCATTGTTGCAACGGGTCCACCTGTATCCTTATTTAAGCGACTTGTTTTTCCCCTCCCCCTCCACAAATTATACCGACATCAAATACAGTGAAAGCAGGGGTTATACTGTGGAGGAGGGACATACAAAGCAACAAAAAATAATCTTATAAATGCTTTAGAAACAAATGCATGAAAGAAAAAAAACATTTGAATACATATTTTAGGGTTCATTTTCCTAACATCACCTTATCTGACCTTTTCTGGTTGACTCATGACTCATATAGATATAGATATAGATATATATAGATAGATATACTAGATATTTTAAATAAGAATGACATTGCCCCATTTGTTCGGAAATGGAAAGACTTGGAAAAAAATCATATTAAGTGAAGTAAGCCAGGCCCCCAAAATACAAAATTTTTAAATCCTAAAAAGAATTATAAGTTTACATTTTGATTTGGCTTAAAGATATCATTTCATCTTACAGTACCTTTACAATAAAAAAGATCATTTCATCATATGTCTATGTTGTAATGGAGACATTTGGACTAATCAGTCTAATTATATAACCTCCTTGGTCAGAATGTTTTTGTACTTCCATAATCAAAATATCAAAAAGAATACAGAATGAATAATCAATGTGCAGGTGTAATAAAAGAAGTGAGAAATGAGTCTAGAAAGACAGAACAGATTAAATAAAGGAAGAATAACTCCAAAAAGGAAGCATTGAACACTTAGATTGGTGCATTAAATAGTAAATTCCTTGTATCCCCTTTTGAAGTTCAGAAAAGTAAACAAATTTACAAAAGAAAACAGTAGAAAATTTCCCCTGAAATAGTACAAATATACAGTAAGAGTCTGAGATAATTAGATTCAATATATTACTTTCAATGCAGATGTGTACGGTATGTAAATGAATATTTGTTACTCTACCTGTATATTTTGAAATGTCATCTTATAATCATATAGACGCATTAATCACATCTTGGTACATCAGTTTAGGTCCTCATGCAATTCAATTTTGTGAAAGCACTGAAAAGATAAGAAAGGAGTTAAAAGTTAGTTAAAAGGAATTAAAGTGATAAATAATTCAGGGAATGTATGTCAGATAAAGTAAAAAGTAAAATTAAGACTATGTCCTTCACTTAGATTTTCACAAAGGATATCTTTTTGAAAGTATATTGTTTGCTTTATAAAGAAGTTCTCAGAATTTAAAAATATCTATGGATCTTCCTCTTTCAAGTACTTGAGATGAAGAGAATGAAAATCTCAGAGATGACTTACAGGTCAATTTTAGTCATGCTGGCCTTGTACTGAAAGTTAAAGGATTCCATTCAACTCTAAAGGGAATTTACTGCATTGACATCAGTGTATTTCTGTGGAGATATTAACTATTTGATACATGCCATTTGCACTTAAAGATTCCTATGAGACAATGAGGTTAAAACAAATAAAGATTACTAAAGATTATTTGAAGATTATTTTGCTGATTTTTTGTATTAACTTCCTAGTTTTTAATAATCTTTATTTACCATGTGCATTACAGAAAACATATTTGCAAAGTGCAAAGTATTACTTCCACAAGCTAGTTTGACCCCTCTCTCGAGGAAATGGCATTTGTATAGCTTTTTTAAAATCGTATTTGGAAAGAAAACTAGAAGGTGTAGTAAGTTCAGTTAAGTTGATCAACTTTTCCATTGAGTGAACTGATACTATCCTCAAGTTGTATAACTCTTAGTGAACATTATGTATTTATTTTTCTTATCTCTAAATAGTTGTGCAAATGAGTGGTCATTCAACAAAGTAGTTATACAAATGCAGTGCATGTTGATTCTTTTCAACATTTCACACCCCTCCCAACCTACCTTTCCTCACTTTCCTTAATTTTGTAGTATAAACATTGAATTTTTTATTGCATTATCCCTGTCCTTTTACTCCGTAGCACCCCCTCTCCCTATGACCACACCCTATCCTTTTCAAATACTTTCTTCTTGGTTGTTGTTTTTTTTTTTTTGAATTTTGACTTTGCCTTTCTAAGGAATTAAACTGTCTGTGTTCTCCCTTAAATCTACCGTATTTCATTTAATATCTTATAATTATTTTTATAGTCGTTATATTTTGTACTCTATATCAGTTACTATAATGTTCTGTTTTCTCATTCTACAGATGTCTACCTTTTAATTTATTGTTTTCCTTCATGCCATCACTCTTTACTACAGTATATATTTATCTGTTCATTCATCTATTATCCATAAACTCTTCTCTCTCCCTACATAGCATATGGCACACAAAGGGAAATTTTTTATATTCAACTCCACGTTTCCAATTTCTGAATATTGTTTGGAAATTATCTAATAAGTGAGACTAATGATAAAAATAACAATATATTCTGTATTTATAACAGTACCTCTTTAATCCTCAAATCAGATTCATTTCCAATTTTTGGAATTTTAGGTGCTCCATGGTCTGTCTGAATCTTACCATCTTGCTTTCTTCTGTGTCCCTTAAGGACTAGAACAGGTACAGAACTCAAGGTTTCTTGTGCATTGGTCAATTAACTTGATAGTAACTTAATAGTTATCCTCAACTAATAACTTCTTGCACTTTCTCAAGTCTGCTCATCTGTGAAATGACTTATGAAGTTATCCATAAGAACGTTCCCTTGTATTTGAAACTGAAATGAGTTTTCCTCCTCTTGACCATGATGATACTTACCTACCTTTACTTACTTACTTATTTTGGTGCTGATCCTGGGGCTTGAATTCAGGACCTGGGCACTGTCCTTGAGCTTCATTGGCTCAAGGCTGGCACTTTACCACTTGAGCCACAGCTCCATTTCTGGCCTTCTCTGAGAAGTTAATTGAAGATAAGAGTCTCACAGAGTTTCCTGCTCAGGCTGGCTTCAAATCTTGGTCATCAGATCTGAGCCTACTGAGTAGCTAGCATTACTGGTGTGAGCCATCAGTGCCTGGCTGCTTACTTGCCTTTCTATCACAATTTCCACTTTACCAGGTGTTACTTGTAGATAATCTGTATTAAATAGTTTAAGTAAGGCAGGGATCAGCTCTTTGGAATTTTATTCATCCATCCCTCTCCTCTTGGTCTCACACCTGGACGTACCCATTTCCTGGTGTTGTTTTGTTGGCTTTGACCTCCTCTTGCTAAAAGATTGTACTATTTGAGCTCACCATAGAGTCTGCTTCAGTTAATTCATTTATAACCACTTGTATACTTCCCAAATATTTAATTATAAACTTATATGTACATTCCCTATACCACAAATGAAGGAAACCATGAAACCTTTGTTATTCTGGGTCTGGTATACTTCACAACATATATTTTATTCCAGACTTTCCCTTTTCTTAATGGTACTATATTATTCATTATAATAGAGTAAAATTCCATTAAATATATGTACCACATTTTCTTGATGCATTTGTCCATTGAGGGACATCTGAGATGATTCCATATCTTGTTTGTGTTATATTGGATAAATGCTCAGGAGTGGGATTGCTGAGTCATAGGTAATTCAATGTTTAGTTATTTGAGGAACCTTCATACTGGTTTCCAGATTGGTTTAGCAAACTTACTTTTTCACCAAAAGTGTATTAGAGTTCCCTTTTAGCCACATCCATGCCAGCATTTGCTGTTGCTTCTTTTCTTGAGAATGGTTATTCTAATTGGGGTAAAATAGGATCTCAATGTTGTCTTGATTTACATTTCCTTTATGACAGAGATATTGAACATCTCCTCATGTGTCTATTGGCCATTTGTGCTTCGTCTTCTGAGCAGTCACTGTTGGATTGACTAGCCCATTTATGAATTGGGTTATTTCTTTGAGGATTTAATTTTTGAGGGCTTATGGTTTTTCTTAGCTCTAAGTGTATTCAGGATATTAGGCACATGTCTGATGCATAGCTGGTAAAATGTTGTCCCATTCAGTGGGCTTCAAATTCTATCACAAAGCCATAGTAATCAAAAGCTTGGTACCGGTATAAAATAAGCATGAAGACCACTAGAACAGAGTAAGAAATCCAAACACATATGCACAGACTATGCTACTAACAGCAATATATATATACGTGTATGTATGTACTAATGTAACCATAAAAATTAGAATGTCATTTTCTGACAAAATAGAAAAACAAGCTCTAAAATTAAGAATTTATATGGAAACATATAATAACTTGAACAATTAAAACAATTCTGTGCCAAAAGATCAATGCTGGAGGTATTTCAATACTAGGCTCCAAATTATGCTACAGAGCCATAATAACATAAAGAGCATTACATTTTTCCAAAAACATGTCAAACTGAAAAATAAACCTTAATAGCTAAAATCACGTGGTTTCTCACAAAGGAGTCCAAAGCCTATGCTGGAGAAAAGATAGCCTCTTCAATGAATGGTGCTGAGAAACTGGTTATCTACATGCAGAAGGCTGAAAGTAAGCACTTATGTGTCACCTTGGATAAAAATCAACCAAAGTGGTTCAGAGATCTATTGTAAGAACTATTCTTTGAAATTTCTGCATGAAAAATAATGTATATAGGCATAATTAGTTATTGTTGGACTTGGCTTCAAATTGTCCAAGAAAGGAACCAAGAGTTAAAAAATGAAACTGTGTCAAATTAGAAAGGTATTTCACATAAAAGGAAACAAATTTAAGAATCTAGGGACAATCCATACAATGGTAAAAAAAAATTCTAGTTAATCATTGGATAAAGCATTAGTATCCAGAATGTACAGAGCTCAAATACTAAACAATTAAAATACAAATAACTGTATTGTTTCTAAATATTATTAAATTTAAAAATTCTTTCTTGTACTTGTTTTAGTCTTCTTTGGACTCTCAATTCATTTTTATTTCATGTAGTTCCAAGATTACCATTACATTTACTTTTATGGTCTGAATTTTCTGAATTAATTATTTGTATAATTGAACCCTTTCCCTTGATTTTATTTACTATCTTATTAAGGTTCATTAAAAATCATTATCTTGAGTTCTTTCTTTAGACAAATTATCCACTACCTTTGATATCTGTTTCTAGGAAAAGGTATGCTTTAGGATGTTTCATGCTACTTAGCTTTTGAAACTTTATTTCCTATGATAAGATTTGAAAATATGGCAAATAAATTTCTTTTGTCAGTCTTTTGAATTGAGAGCTTTCCTTTTATATTTAAGTAGCTGTGCAATGGGGTTACAATTCACCATGTCAGTTTCTGAGCACAATGCATTTCTATCAATACCTATATTGTCCAGGTTTGTCCAATCTTAAATGATGCTCCTGCCTCAACTTCCTAAGTAATTGGAATGAAGACTACATGCTACTATGCCTAGCTAACTCTATTTATTTTGTAATGTGGCCTTTCAGGTGAATTCTCTCTATAGATGTGCTCAAGAATGCCAGTTGCGGGCTGGGAAGATGGCTCAGTGGTAGAGCGCTTGCCTTGCATGCCTGAGGTCCTGGGTTCAATTCCTCAGCACCACATAAGCAAAAAGAAAAAAGAAGGAAGTGGCACTGTGGTTCAAGTGGTAGAGCGCTAGCCTTGAGCTGAAGAGCTGAGGGACAGCGCCCAGGCCCAGAGTTCAGGCCCCACAACCGGACCCCTCCCCCAAAAAAAACAAGAATGCCAGTTGCTTAGACTGCATTGCCTGTGTTTTGAGATGCATTCAGGAACAGAGTGCCTCTGTAGCAACTTCATTTACAATCATTTTCAGGCATAAGTGCAGTGTTTTCATAATCATGCCTTCAGAGTTTATGCTGCCATATGGGATGAAACTGTCTTAGATGCAGATTGACCAGTGCTTTAGGCGAGGAACTCATGACTACACGTATAGGCAACTGCTACTTTCTGAAATCCATGTAGGGTCACACTTAGATACCAAGACAGAGACGGCACAGATAAAATGGTAATTTCTGTGTGATATAGACAAGATAGACAAATAGGGTACCTACACGATGAAATTAAAATCCATAAGTATTTTATTATTTAGAGTTTCACTTTACAGATTGATTAACATCCAATACACAGAGAATGTGTCTCAGAGAACGTGAGAGTCACATGATTAAATTTAAGATAAAATATTCTCATTTATGTAGTAGAGAAATACAGATATTGATCTTGTAGGAAAATAGTTATCATAATACCTTGAATAGGGGGTAAGTCAACTCAAAATAAATTCAAGCTTGCAGTTTTTCTCCCAATGATGGTGTTGTTTAAGAAAATATTAATACAGAACTTGGATTGTGCTTTGATTTTAAGATTGAGCATTAAGTTTGAGAAACTAGAAATTTTCAAATGATGTTATAGGCTATATATGTTTTGACTAAAACCTCCTTTAGTATTTGAAGAAAATTATTATCAATTGAAATCGTTTTTCAAGGAGATACTTGTTTCAGACCATTGCACCATTTTCTCTTTTTCATTAGTCTCTTGATAACATTTATTACTTCCTTATTTCTTAGACTATAAATAAAAGGATTTAACAAAGGGATTATTAAAGTATAAAAAATGGCAATGGGAATATCTTTATCTACTTCACTAATCGAATTTGGTCGCGTATACACAAAGAAAAGAGAGCCATAGAATATTGACACAGAGAAGAAGTGGGATGCACAGGTAGATAAGGCTTTGCCTCTCCCCCCTTTGGATTTCATTTTGAATATAGTGAAAAGAATATAGAAATATGATATTAGGACTATGGCAATAGTAAGAATTAGATTTGCACCTGCCAATATAAATAACATCAATTCATTTATATAGGGATCAGCACAAGACAGAGCATGTAAGGGAAGAAGGTCACAGAAAAAGTGATTGATTATATTAGGCCCACAGAAAGTTAATCTAAACAATAAGCCTACTTCAAGCAAAGGATGTAGATTTCCAAATATATAGGCTCCTATGGTCATCTGAATGCAGAGCTGCTTGGACATGATGGTATGGTACTGCAGTGGACTACAAATGGCCACATAGCGGTCATAGGCCATTGCTGACAGAAGATAACAGTCTGTAGTCTCAGCAAGACAGAGGAAATAAAATTGTGCCATACATTCATAGAGGGAAATCCTTCTGTCCTCAGAAAACAGATTTTCTAATGTCTTGGGAGTAACAGCACAGGAACAGAAAGCATCCATCAGAGCCAGGTTTCCCAGGAAGATGTACATTGGGGTATGAAGATGACGTTCCATGTAAATCAATGCTACCAGTCCAAGATTCCCCACCATGGTGATCAGATAGATGGCAAAGAATATGAGGAACAGGGGCACCTTCAGGCCTGGATGATCTGAAAACCCTATGAGGATGAACTCAGTTGTCGTGGAATAGTTGTCCTCGGCCATCATTTCCTGTCTGTCGAGATAGGAATGAGGAAGACCTAAAATATCATTAAGGATGCAGTTCATGCTATGTTCTTTTCTTATTATTTCTTCATTAAGCTTCCTTGGTTTCTATGAAATACAGTACCATGTATTTCTTGGGGACATTTGTTTTCCTAAGATGTCAGAATGTATGAGTCAAGATATAACTTTCTATTTTGCCCCAATTTCTTGATAAGTATGGTGTGGATTTTGGATGGGGAATATGTTTATATTTATGAATTTATAAAGAACTGTGCCTATGTTTTGAGTTTCAGTTTGGGTATTGTACTCAAATATTTCCAATTTTATCTTATATAAAACCATAAAATCAATTTTTAATTGACTTCTCCAATGTGTATTCTTTTGCAGGGAGACTATTTTATCTATAATCCAGAAGCATGGAATTTTTATACTAATATTGGAAATATGAAAGATGTTAGAAATAGGCAAATTGAACAGAATCACTAATGATTGAATGTATTACTTCATATCTTTAAAATAAACTACCTTGGGCTAGGCATCAGTAATTCATACTTAAAACCCTAGCTACTCAGGAGACTGGCATGAGAGAATTGCATGGAAATGGTCACTTTGATCAATTTGCATTGTATTCAAACTGACTTGTTGAGCTGAAATATTTTGGACAACTATTTCTAGTTAATAAAAATTAAATAAAAAAGAAAAATGATCAGGTTCATAGAGCAGAACCAGTTCAAATTGAAGAATTTGTAGAGTCTCTTTGTACTTTTTAACTAGTAAAATGCCAGACAGGTGGCAGAGCTTAGTTGTACATAGAGGGCCAGACAGCCATAAGCCAATAAAGCTGAGTGAGAGCATGAAGGTGTAAATTCAAGTCCCATTACCAGCTAAAAAAATCACTTGGTCATGTTAACAAAATTGAATCATAGCTTAACACCTCTGTCTTTCTCTTTTCCAGTGATATTTTTATACACACACACACACACACACACACACACACACATAAACACTAATTCCATGCCAGTATCCCAAAATTGTGAATAGTTCTACTGTCTTGTAAGTCATAGAATTTATGTACTATACCACTTAAGAACCACAGATATCTCATTCCCTGAACTGTGGGACATGTTTTCTATTGTCTACAAAATCCATATATTTGTATAAATTGATTGTTTAAAATTTTAAAATGTATTTGAACAATCCCTTGGTGCAGTATAAACTATTTTTATTTTAGCTATTACATATCTGGAAGGCAACATTTACTCTATTACTAGGTAGATCTTAATCATCTTGTTTTCAATATTCTATTATGATCATTAGTGAACTCTTCTGCATATTGAGACCAATAGCTTCATAGTATAGAATGAAGATAAAATTTTAATTTAACTAATGTATCTAGTTAGATATTTATTTTATGGTATTGGCATTTGAACTCGGGAACTCATGTTTGTTAGGCAGGCACTCCACTGCTGACTCAACTTCGTCTTAATTGTTAAAATCTCCATAAGAAGTTAGACTCTTCTGTCTATTCATTTTTGAAGGGATGTTAAGGGGAAAACAAAGGAGGAGGCAACAATGCTCAATAGGAAATGTACTGATTACCTTGTTCACATAACTGTAACCCCTCTGTGCAGCATTTTTACAATGAAAAAAAGTACAAAAAAACTTATTTTCTTTAGGTAGATCTACAAAGGAATTGCCATTTAAGGAAGCAACTTATATATACACTATATCTTGATCAATGTCACTCCTTAAAAATTCTCACCCATTCTTCTCCTACCCAACTTTTCTCTCATTCTTCTTAATTTCATAGGGTAGATATTGAATTCTTGAGTAAATTTTCCCCTCCCCTCTTCATTTATCTTCCCTTTCCCATTGACCTTTTCTTCTCTTCCTGGGGTTTCTTTTGTTGAACTCTGTTTTTGCCTTTCTAAACAATCACACTAATTGAGTTCTCCCTACAATCTATCGTATTTTAGTTAATACATTTGTACACTTTCGTATCATTCAGTGTATTTACTTAGAAGTTAATAGGCAAACCTAGCTTCCACATATGAGGATTTGTCTCTCTGGACCTGACTTCACTTAAAATATTTTTTCAGGCTTTCTTTTTCTTTTCAAATAATACAATATTACTGTTTTTAAAGCATGAGTAAAATCCTATTGTTTTTGTACTACAATAGTACTTTCATGGGGTTTTGATTTGACATTTATTTTTTTATTTTTTATATTTTTAATTTTAATTTTTATTTTTTGTGAACATACTGTACAGAGGGGTTACAATTACATGGGCAAGATAATGAGTACATTTCTTATCAAGCATTGAGGCCTCCTCCTTTGTTTACCCTTCACATCCCTTTTGATTTGACATTTCTATACATGCATACACTATTGCCTGGGGAAGGATGCTACCTTCTACACTCTTCCTACACTCTTCTCCTTTCCTTAAAAAATTCTACTTTCATAATTCAGATTATATTTAATTTCATTTACCTTCTTGATTGGCCCTCTTCACTCCCACTAGATCTCTCCCACCCCACCAAAGCCTGTTTTACTTTCTGTCACTTATTAGTGTGTATGTTAAATGTACAAAGGCTGTGGCCATGGTATTTCACATGAGTATATACTATATTTTTTCCAGTTACTCCAATTATTTCTTTTTCTTTTCAAAATTCCAGTAGAATTGTGAATCCAAATTTTGTTTTGTTTTCAAAATGTACTCTCAATATGGAAGGGATCCTTTTCAAGAGTTTGAGTAAAAATACTTTTCATGTAAACTACATAATCAAACTTATTTATATTTCCATAAGCAAAACTTCAGAAATGAAGGCAGTAAAACTTTAGTGTGCTTAGGAATATTAATTGCAAACACACAATTGATCAGGTAAGTTAGAAATGAATATTAATATACATTGTGCTTAGAAATATTAATTGCAAACACACAATTGTTCAGGTAAGTTAGAAATGAATATTAATATACATTGTACTCAACAGAGATTTGTTGAACTTGTCTGAATAATTTCAATTTTCTTCTCTAGCAGAGGAATCAGATAAATTACAGTAGTGTGCTTCCTTATATCATTTAGATTTGAAAAGAATTACACAAATAGGAAAGGAGTTAAAATTTGGAAAGAATATAAATCTGTAAATAATTTTCAGAAGTAAACCTTATGGTTGATGAAATTAAAAGTAAAAGTGAATTCGAATATTTTTCTTACCTAGATTTCACTGTGAATACTTTAAGAAATATGTTCCTTGCTTCACAGTTAAGTTGTCATAATTTCTGAATATATACATACCTGTTCTCTAAAGTGTTCGAGGATAAAGAAATGAAAAATTCAGAGACAACCTACAGGTCAGTGTTACTAATTATACATTCTTACACTGCAAAGTTAAAGTGCTCCTTCCAATACTATTGGGAATTCTCTGCACTGACATCAGTTAATTCTGTGATATATTGTGTCCAAGAAAACATCTCATTGTCCTATGAGACAATAAGAAGAAAACAATGGCCCAGCCACACCTTGGAGCTCACATCTATAATCCTAGTAACTCAACAGGCTGAGATCTGAGGACTGAGGTTCAATGCCAGCAGGCCAAAAAAAACCAAGACAAAACAAAAAAGAACTCCATGAAATTCCCATCTCCAATATGCTACCTAAAAACCAGAAATAGAGCTGTGGCTCAAGGAGTAAAGCACATAAGCTCAGGGACAGCACCTAGGCCCTGAGGTCAGGCCCTAGGATTAGCACAAAAAACAAACAAACAAAAGAAGTCCCCCATCCAAAAAACCCAAAAGCAAATGACCCTCACTATAATATACTTGAAGATTATCTTGCAGTTTAGAAGGAAAAAACTACAATTTTCAAAGTTAATAAAAAGTGAAAATTAAAGATGATATTTCTGGTTTATATTTTTCCCAAATCTCTTCATAATATTTTGCAGAAAATATAAAACAGGTAGCAAACCTTAACTAGCTTGTGGGTTCTTTCTTTCTCAGTACTACCCAAATCTTTCTTTAATAAGTTTTTTATTGTGAAAATACTGTACAGAGGGGTTACAATTACATGAGCAAGGTACTAAGTACGTTTCTTACCAAGCCTTTTGCCTCCTCCTTTGTTTTTCCCCTACCAAATTTTTATTGCCAATATGACTACCTCTGTGTAAACATTCTAGGGGTTTTGTGATGGAATTAATGTTGCCTCTTATTGATGAGACTGGTAGTTACCTTGTTTCCCTTTATAGTTGTGAATCATATGTTTCTCAATTGTGTCATTTTGTATGAAATGGCTTTACATAAGGAATCATCTGGTAATTCTTTAGAACTCAGTGCAGAAAACTTACCTGCACTCTCAAACATATGCAATTCCTTGACTGCTAAAGTATATGCAGGTCACACAAAAAGGCAATAGGAAGAGATTGCAAAGATGTGAGAAGTTCTCTAGCTAAGATATGGAACCAACCCAGATGCCCCTCAGTAGATGAATGGATCAAGAAAATGTGGTATATATACACAATGGGATTCTATGCCTCCATCAGAAAGAATGATATTTCCCCATTTGTTAGGAAATGGAAAGGCATGGAAAAATTATATTAAGTGAAGTAAACCAAGCCCAAAGAAACATAGGTCCCATGGTTTCCCTTATTTGCAGTATCTAGTATATGTATGAGTCAAGCAGGAAAGGTCAGATAATGTGATGTTAGGAAAATGAACCCTAAGATATGTACTTAAATGTGTTTTTTCTTTCATGCATTTGTTTCTAACTCATTTATAAGATTATTTCTTTGTAGCTTTGTATGTCCCTCCCCCACAGTATAACCCCTGCTTTCATTATATTTGATGTTGGTATAATTTGTGGAGGAGATGGGGAAAAACAAGTCGTTTAAGGATACAGGTGGACCCGATGCAACTATAAGAAGTACAAGTTGTCATGTCAAAAACGAACTTTACAACTTTGGTGCGGGGTGGGGGGAGGTTGGGTGGGGGGACAGGGGGAGGCTGG